CTCATTTTTCCCTACATCTTCCCTATGGAAAGATCGACCCATTCCCAATTTCGTAAAAGACTTTTCCTATCATAGTCAACTAAAACCCCAACTATTATATACCATTCGATAGAGAATTTCACGAGCTACAAAATGGTATATAAAAAATAAAGAAACAAGAACGTTGACTCACCTATCACAAAGATAATTAAAGGGAAATGGGTTCCGTTTTTGTCCACGATCTAACTGACTCACAATTCGAGCTCTATCTTCCGATCACAGTGATGATACTTCGAGGTTTTCTGAGATGGAGAACTTGAATCTGTATTCCACTTCCACCGAAACACTATTGGTTGAGCAGTGACCAATAGAAATCAAGTTATAGGAAAAACGACTTTCGTTAGGGTAAATCAAGGGGAAGAGTTCAAATTTGAGATGTATTCGGTCCCAAGTCCTATTGGTTTGGCAATACCCAATAGAAATCAACAGTTTAGAGGATAGGTTCCTCAGTATAATTTTGATGTCCACACATTCTATGATGGCTGATTCATCTGATTCACTTTTTGAAGTGCACATAACTCTCGGATTTAAATCGAAAGTTTCCGCATTTATTTATTAAGTGATTTAAATGTATATTAATACTAAAAGCATTCAAAAAACAAAAAAAAATAAATAGAATTCTTTTCTTCGTGTAGAGAAAAATTTCTACTATAACGAAAAATTTTAATATCATCTGAAATTCTAAAAGCAATCGATTTGTTGATGATTGTCATGTTTACCGCAATATTTTTCTTTTTATTTACTTTATACTATTAGTCAGTAAATATATAATGTTTTGTTTTATTGAGAATTCGTCATAGATTTCTATGACTCTTATAGTGAAGTAGAATACTATAAGTAAATTTATCAATTAATTTAAAAAGAAAAAAGAGAGAAAATAATAAGTGCTTAATAAAATGCAACTAGAAACATACATATGTAGACAAACGATAACACTTTATATGTATTTTTTTTTCTTAAAAAATTTGAAAACATATTATTAGTAGTCAAGGAATTTCAAAATTAAAATAAATGATTTAGTATTCACATTAATACTGTTGTATAACTATCTTATATATTATGATATACAATTATTTTTATTAAAGAATTTATTTCAAGAAAACTAAAATTCTATCAAATCTATCCTATATAGATATAAACTCATGAGTTGTATAGATTTTATTTGCCATTTTTTTCCTTTAAATATCATCATTTTTTAAACCTTTTTATGTGATGTAATACATTGATTCATTTTTATTATATTATATTAATCAATATATTACATTATAATCAGAGATGTGCTTCAAAAAAAACCGTGGAGGGATGAAAAACGTTCTTTTTCTATTTTGTGATCTTGTTTTTGAATAAAATGTATGATTTTCGCTGCGAAAAACTGATAATTTTTTTAACGTGGAGGGGTGCGCATCCCCCGCACACCATGGACCGCACATCCCTGATTATAATTTTACATAAAATTGGTATTGTATTTTGAAACAAGAATATTTATCATAACGTATTAAATTCTGATGAATTTATAAAACAATTTGATTCATCTAGTCTACTAAAACTCACAGCATAAACATATATATATCGACACAATAAGAGTCGATTTATTTCATTTTTTTTAATCGATTAATGCTAAAACAGTAATTCAGTGCTGAAACGTAAAAATTCATTCTTTACACGAATATTATATCGTATAAAGGAGAATAACATTCAAATGTTTTTTTTCCTATTATAAAGAAAGCAGATTCGAGCTAAAATATAAATCCAACAACTATTCCATATAATTTTCTTTTCTCTAAATCGCTTAAATCCTTAATAAGAGCAAAGGGGGGGGGGGGGGGGGGGGAAAAAAAACAAAAAAAGAAAAAAAGTTGTGAAAAAATATGTTAATTAATTTTTTTTAGAATTCGCATGAAAGCAAAGCGCGCCTTATGAAAATTGTTTACGGCAGTAAATCCCGCGGCAGTAAATCCTGTACACGGGCCTGTAGCTTATCATGGTACTGCAACTACCAATGCCATAAAAATTTTACGTAATGGTTTAATTGCTGGAGGTAGTAATGGTGTACGTGTAGCTAATGGTGCTGTTTATGGACATGGCATATATTTATCACCTAATCCATCACACGCCGGTAGTCATAGTTACGCTAGACCTACACCATACAATGGTCGACAATATCAGGTTATGTTTCAAATGAGAATTAAAAATAGTTCTATAGCGAAACATAGTAGAAATGTATGGGTATGTCAGAATTCACAAGATGTTCGACCTTATGGAATATTATTTAGAGAAACATAAAGCGCCATTAGTGTTTTAATCTGTAATATGCTTATATTATGTTGCACATGCTCATAAATAATCCTAAAAGTTGTTGTTCCAAAATATAAATTGTAATGTGGGGACTATTCAATTTTGGGATTATTTCATTGTCTATGTTCTACTATTTATTAAAGTTTTCGACGTTTTCGTTTGTTTTCAATCGTTTAGTTAAACGAAAGTATTTGTTAACTATTTCTTTTCTCGCTGAAATATTAAATAAACCAGAAGCTTGAAATTTTATTTGTTCTCTTCAAACACAATATCGATATGTTCCATATGAAGATTGAATCCGTTAAATTAATATTGGCAAGTTATTAGGTGGGTGTGGGTCTCTCCTTCTTCCTCATCCATATCAACACCTACACCCACACCCACCCACACCCACCCTCGGCTCGGATTCGAGTGCAGGCCGGAGAAAAATTTAACCTAACGAGTTTTGCTCTGACAAGCTTTCAATAAACCGGATCTGGGTCCATAGATTTCAGGATGTAGGTGTAGTGCAGGTGTCGGCGAGTAGTGGTGGAGTTGTTCTGTTCACTGTAACATGAAAACTACAACCTTACCCGCACCCACACCGACATCTACACTCCGCACTCACATCCACACCCACACTCATGCCCACATCGACACCTAGAACACCCACCCATACACCACACTTTATCCACACCCCAGTGTGTGACTGAAGTGTTTTCTCCGTCGCAACACAAGATAAAAATAGAATACAATACGCATTTGTTCGCATTATGTGTTCTGTCCAAAGTAACATCGAGTAAACGACACTCTTTTCACTTTCTTTCTCGAATATGATGCAGTGTCTGCATTTTTTGTTCTCTTCTTCCTTTTAATGATTGTTTTTCTTATTCTTTTCAACCTTTGCACTTGGAAAAAACCAACTTTATATTTTCCACGTGTTCAGACAAAATATCTTAGTGGAAGCAGTTGCGACCCTGAAATCGTCTATTACAATTTATTTTTCAGTGTTGAGTTCTTCAAGCGCATCTTAAAATGACTGAAAGTTGGATTTCTATCTGGCTAGACAGGATTTATGTACCAACCACTGCTGAAAGCGATAGTAAGACTCATCCCATGTCGTCTTCTTTTATTCAATCACGCCACTATATCGCCAAAACGGCAAAAAACGGCGTTATTGAGCAGAATGATGACGCTATTTATCGCAATATTATATAGCGTTCATTGCGACGTGGTAACGACGAAAAGCAAAAAGCGACGCTATAATCACAATATTGTATAGCGTTCATTACACCACGATAACGGCAAAAAGCGACGCTATTATAATCGTACTACGCTTTTATACCAAATAGTACACTTATAATTATGAACAGTTGAACTTTTGCTGTATGGTATAATTCTTGTGATCTTGTATATATAACTTCGAAATATACTCGACAACTGTAGTCTTCAGTAGTCAAAAATTCAGCCCTTGCATGAACTGATCGCTTTTGTGCTCGTTGTTTCGTAGAAACTCTAATAATAAGATTGATGATCGATCACTACATCAGTAATAATAAAATCTCCATGCAATGCGGTCCAAGGTGATTGATGCTAATCATGTGCTTTGCTAGTCATACATTATTTCAGTTGATGCTACTATTAATTAGAAACTAAATATCGCAAAAACGGTACTTATTCAATGAGTATTGTTGTGATTGACAAAATGTTACGACGAAATTCGAAAAAAATAAACAATATTTATCAATTAAAATATTATGAAATCGAGTTTTATGAATTTTTAAGCACCATATTGTTCGACACGTCCAAACAAAAATCGTACAATGCATTGATACAATATTATTAGCGTGCTAAATTTATTTTTCTAGCTATTCTATCAACATTTACTATTATATAATGATCAGTAGCATCGTCTACTTTTATGACAATTATGTTTCTTTAACCAATAATCATCTTCAATTCTAATCTTTGTCTGCAGTTGTATAATTGCTCAGCTTTTTGTCACAAAACAGATGATCGCATAAGAATAGAAGTAAATATAGAGAAATTTAGACGTCAGAGGTCAACGATTGTCAAAGGAGACGGCCTGCAAGAGATGTAGTGTAACGGTCATTTATCATCATGACAACATTGCGGACGACTGCTTATACAGCTGCGCTCATAAATGAAAAAAAATTCTGCTTCACTAATCCAAATGAAAGATAAATAGTTTCTGAAAATTTTCAATGATAGATATTTTCTCAGATTCTGTTAGTAAAATCAAGTGTATTACAGTAATTGATAATTTTTATTGTTCTCTTTTTTCATTCTCGTTTGTTTTAGATGTAATTTTCATTAAAATACTTATAGGCGTCATTGATGCTGATTGTACAAATCTTTTATCAATTCTAGTAAGTGCAGAATTCATTTTTTTAATTATATTTGTGTCCCATGTATTTAGATTTTCACATCATCAGACGTCAATCTATGCACTGATTTATGGAAAATCCCAGCAATAGATGAATGATAGTAGAAAAATAAAATCTTTGTGTAGTCTGCCAATAGCTTTTTTATGTATTCTACGTTAAACAGTTTTTTGTATAAGAAATTTCTTTTTTTTTGTAAAATTTTGTTTGTTTTTTGTATTGATCATGTTTTTGTTTTGAATACTACATGCAATTTATGTCAGTGGTTATGTAAGATTGTGATATCCTCTGTGATCAAATAAAAGTCCGAAAGTATAAGTATCTGTTGAACTTATTCACGAGTAAACTATTAAATATAGCTATGGTCTACCGAGAATACAG